TCAGGAGATGGGAAAGAAAGTACTGTATTGCAATTAGGAAAGCCAGATGATGTGGACGTTTCCATAGAACTCAAAAATTGGTTATTTGCGCTTGAAGGTGAACAAGAAATGTCAGAAAGGTGGTGGTTTTATAATCCTAATAATGCAGGCAGAGAAGAGAGGTGTTGGCACACTTCTTTCCAGAGCTTCCGAGTGAAAGCACATAGTAGACCGAAGGAACTACTAAATGGCAAAGGAAGATCATTTGGAGCTCAACAGTATCCCGTGGAGTTAGTGATAGTAAGCACCCTCTTCCCCCCAAAACGAATAATTAAATAGTAAATAGATAAATTAACTGACTAATTAACAAATTGCAATCCTTTTCCCCGGTGGTTCTGATTTTAGTGAACCGTTCTTTTTTGGTCTTTCTCCATGTTTGTGGTTTAAGTCACATATCAAACGCATGAGCTTGAAATGTTCGAGTGAAATTCAGGTCAGCGTTGAGGGACTGCAAACATTGAAGCCTCAGATTCAAAAGAACACCCATCATACTGTTTCTCTCCCCAATGGGGTGAATGAAACGGTTGAGCCACTTGGAGGGATAAATCTTGAAGCTCGCTTGGTGGTATCTGAGGATAACGTTGATGATGAGATGGCCAACTGGATTATGGAAAACTTGAAGTTCTCTGTCAAGCATCCGGTATTTGACAATCATTTTTCCTGATGTTGAACATAATCCGTTTAGTTTAGGAACGTTTTCACACAATGTTTTTCCATGATAGATTGAGGCTGTTGTTACAAAGAACGAACTGCAACATCTTGCCTTACTATTCAAGTCAGAAGTTGATTCGATGGGTCGAATTGCTGCTGGAGTTCTTCGGCTGCTAAAGCTGGAGAGTTCTATTGGTCTAACCACCTTGGATCAGCTAAGTAACCTTGGTATGTCAATTTGCAAAGTGATGAGTCTTAACGCCATGATTTCTAGGCTTTTTAAAAGTTTCTCTGTTTCTGTTGCAATCAAAGGCTATTAACCATACGATTCCTTGATTCCCTGTGCTTCATTTCGTTTGATTTTTTAAAACTTATTAGGAGAGTATCCACTAAGGTAACACATTAGTTACGTTTCAAATTTCAATATTGACACTTAGACTCCAATCTGGTTTTGTGCACATCAACTACTCATTCTAGAGTTCTTTTGAGGTCTAAACGAACATTTACTAGTTGATGCTTAACTGCAGGAAGTGAAAGCATTGATAAGATCTTCACCCCAGAAAAGCTTAGCAGCAGGGGAAGTAGTGCAGCCAGTTTTGGATTCTCCCCATCGACATATTTGATTGGGGAAAGCCCACGACCAACCATAGAATCTACAGTGACATCTCTGGAGCAGGCTGTTCTCGATTCCCAATCTAAATGCACCTCTCTCATGACTGAACTCAGCAGTTCAGATTCGTTGGTACATGTTGCAACTATTAAGCAACTCTACGAGAAATTTGATAGCATGCAAACATTACTGTCGAGATTGCGGAATCAAATCTGATTTGCATCTGCTGTCGTCTCATTTTGCCATTGCTCACGCAATTAGAGGTCCCTTGGGCCGAGGTTGTTATTCCTACTTTCAGGTGCAAGCTACCAGGAAGTGACCAATATTTGGCAACTCCTGGAACCTGCAGTGGCCCTGCTCATCTCCCTTCAAACTCACAGGTCAATTCAAGAATTGTGTATTTCAAGATAAAAAAGAGGTCATTTCCCAATCATATATAGTTCACCATTCTTTCTCCCGCATAAATACATATATAGATACATATAAATATATAGATATAGAAATGCAAGTTGAGTGTGTAGTATAGCTCCGAAGAAGTAAAACCTTTCATTTTTGTAGACTTGAATTCTTCGTGGAAATATGATAAGTTTTGTACATGATTTTACTGTGAAAGATATATATGATGCTCCATTTTGTAGAAAATTAGATGCTTCACTTGATTAATGATTTTGGCTTCCATACTAAAATTTTGTTTTGTAACATTGTATTGTCCGTTGGTTGAGTAACTAGTTGGTGTCCTAGATGCTTGTTGTGCAAAATTTGGGATTTGTTCATACAATTCATTACCTACTTGTATGTATCCTCTTGGTTTCACTGGATAAAATCCTTCTAATTGGCTTTAAGACCAAGTTTTCTTTTTCATTTGACTTGAGGTTCAAAGAATTTGGATTCCTTGTTAGAATTATTATGGTTTTCAATTAGTTATGTTAGGTGAAATCCAGACAATCTCGAAACTTAATCTCCTATTTTGATGATATATTTTGATGATAGAAATATCTAATCGTGACTATCTATCTACAATTTATTGACAATCAAGTGTAGGAATGTCAAACTATTCTTTTAATTAGCCGAGGTAATATAAAAAAGAAATACAAAGATAAATCTTAGGAACAATATAAAATATATGTGCATATTTTATTAGAGTCATGTCTACTCGAACGTGAAAAGATTTAAAATATATTTTTCTATTTTATCTAATTCCTATGTCATTAAATTATTTTTCTAAGTTACGTGTAAATATGCTTTCATGGCATTAAATTTAGTTGACCTGTATGATATAATCATTTATTATTACAATAAATAACTTGTCACGTCACTATAGTAGGAAAAGAAAAGGGTAAGTTTAAATGTCTAAAATGCCCATGCAATTCTGATTTCAACCATGAGAATGAAGGGTGTTTTGGTGATTGAGTATAAACAAGTAAAATGTAAACACCAGAAAATCAATACCCTACTGTTTCTATAAATTGATAACCAAGTCCGCTCAACCGCTGCCACGGGTTGCCGTGATTCTACGACGGACGACGGAGTAGAATATGGACTGCCGCCGTATTAGTCAATGGTAGTGATTATAAGAGATTTGCTCTTTAAGCTCGCCTCCTTCTTGGCATCGGATCGGAGCTGCTGTTCTCTTTCCGATCACTCTCCTTCTGCCTAGAGACTCGACAGGAGCGGTTTAGTGTCCGATGAAATTCCTTCCCGAGTTCGTTTCTTGCTGCGTGCCGGTGAGCGTGTCGCGCATGGAGAATCCGGAAGCGACGGAGGCTCCGGGAGCCGAGGAGATAAGATCTCTGGCTCCGGTCACCACCAGAATACACCTGCGTAGAAGACGAGGTGCGCCGTATACTTCGGCGGCTAAAATGGCCGGCGATTGGACGCCGTCGCTAGGAGCGATCTCGGAGGATAATGTAGTTCTAGTAGTGATGGAGAGAAAGAAGAGCGAGGATCGGACGGCGGAATCAGAGCGATCTGTGAAGAGGAAGAGCGGATCTCGAAATGGAAAGGCAAGAGGAGTTCACGGACGTAACAACAGCAACGATTTTAGGTACGTACGTATGTCAGTTCGTGAATCTTCGGTATCATTATCGAAATCGTAACGATCTGTGAAATGAAAACGACGTCTGGAAAGAATCTTTTTGTTAATTTTCTCTCTCTCAGGCGAAGTCCGGCGGCCATACCGGTGGTGATTCCGGCGTTTTCTCCAACTCCGTTCTTATTCTGATGCAATTCTGCTTCGATTATCCGATCACTCAGGCTCGTGTAATATATGTGCATATTTGCATAACTCAATTGCATCGTAATAATGATTTGTATAATCAATAAAAAAATTGATTAGAAAAAGGTGAGGTTGAGGAGGAAACTTATCCCTGGAATTGTAGCTTGTTGGTTCAACTGCTCTCTGCAATTTTAAATCTTCCCATTTCTACATGATCGATGCTTTGTTCTCTTTTGCTCTTAGATTCAACTTAGGGCAACAATAATCTGTTTATTTATTGATTGATTGAGTGAATATTCCTACCCAATTGTTGGAGAAAGATCAACTTGGTTCTTGAAGTTTGATTTCTAATAAATTATATATAAATTTTGTATAATAAAGAGATTGAAAGCGTAATTGAAGAAAAGGGTTTGAATAATTTATTAGAATTAAAAAGAGCTTAGAAATGTGACATAAAGAAGAAAAAGGAGGCATGGGCATGGGGTAATGGAAATCTATAGGGGAAAAAATCCACGTATTTGGTTAGGAGTCATATCATCACTCACAAGCTTCCCTTTTATATGGCTCTCATTTCTACCATCCTTCTTCGACCTTTTGGCTATACATTTCTTTATTATTGTTGAAATTATTCAAACAAAACAAGCACATTAGTAATATATGGTAATGTAGAAGAAGTTGATCCACTCCTATATCGACACTTAGTCGGAAGCTTGATCTACTTGATAGCAACGAGATTTGATGTTTTATTTCTTCTAAATATGTTATCATCTTATGTAGATTCGAGAAGTCTTTAGGTTATCTTCAGATGAAAATTTCCGAATAAATATTTGTTATATTGATTGGAGTTGTAATTGTGATGTTTTCCTTTTAGTGAAAATTTTGTTTATTTTTTTTTTCTTTATTTCAATTACTTGAAAAAAACTTGGTTAAAGATGATGAAGTATGGCAAGACTCAAAATCAAATAGCAGATACTTTTATAAAAACATTCAAGTTTGGCTTATTTGTTAACTAAGTTCCTCGAATCTAGGATGTCATAATTAATCTTGACACATTTTGAATACATTACATAACAACCCAAGTTCATTGCTAGCAAATATTATTTGTTTTGGCCGGTTACATATTGTCTCATGACTTTAAAACACGTTTACTATAAAGAGGGTCTAGCCGTACTCCAATTAGCACCTCACATTGATGACTGACTTTGATACCATTTGTAACGGCTCAAACTCTTCAAACTCATCCCTAATAGATAATAGATAATAGATATTATTCACTTTGGTTTTTTTTTTTTTGGGTCAATATTGTGGTGGGTCGAGGGAAGGTGGAAAATTTTGGATTTGTTGTCATATTTGACAAATTGGGCTGTCCATTTGTGTAAGCAACCCTTGAAATGATTCCGGCTTCTTCTTCTATGCAGCAAGGAAGGCCAAGCCTTTAAAACGGCCCATATTTGTTGTGCGGTCAACACAGTATGAAATCTCCCTAAGGCTAAAATTCCCGCGGTTAGGGCATTTTGTTTTAGGATTCTTTTACAGACCCTTCTCCCATGGATTCCACTTCCTCTCCCAAAGCTAGAAAGAAGTCCAGGAAACCATCGCCTGAAGTCAAGTTCCACTTAGACCTCACTAACTGTTCGAGGAAGAAGGACTTACTTTCGGCCATAACTCTCTACGACTCTGCCGTTTCGGAGAAATTGAAATTCAATCAGCAGCACTTCAATACTCTGCTATACCTCTGTTCTACGGAGATCTCTGACCCGTTGTTGAAAGAATCCGCAGTAAGTTTTGGGTTTCGTGTATATAATCACTTGCAATCCGTTGGCGTTATTCCTAATGAGGCTACTATCACTGCCGTCGCAAGACTTGCTGCTGCCAAAGGGGACGGTGATTGTGCATTTGAATTGGTGAAAAACATTGATAAATATAAAGTCACACCCAGGTTGCGCACATATGACCCGGCATTGCTTTATTTCTGTGAGAATTTGGAAGTGGAAAAGGCTTATGAGGTGGAACAACACATGGATTCCGCTGAGGTGGTGTTAGAGGAACCTCAAATTTCTGCTCTATTGAAAGCGAGTTCTGAGAGAGGGAAAGGGGATAGAGTATATGAGTATTTGCACAAACTGAGACGTTCTGTGAAGTGTGTTAGTGAATCCACTGCAAAGGCTATTGAGGATTGGTTTTGTAGTGAGAATGCCTCTGATGTTGGCGAACTGAGTTTGGATGTGGGTCTGATCAGAGAGGCCGTGTTAAGTAATGGAGGGGGATGGCACGGAAAGGGGTGGATTGGGAAGGGAAATTGGAGAGTGAAAAGAACAAATGTTGATTCCAGTGGCAAATGCTGCTGTTGTGCGGAGCAATTAGCTTCTGTCGATATTAGTTGTGCTGAAACGGAAAGCTTTGCTCAGTCTTTGGCTGCACTCGCCATTGAAAGGGAAACTCAAACGAATTTTAGAAGCTTTCAGGTTTCCCAACTTCTACATGTTTATTGCTATGTTTGTAAAGATCTTGTATTTATTGTTTTCCCCATAACAGTATATGTTTTTTAGGTTGTCTTGGTGGATTACTTTTTGAAGTTCTCTGAACCCCTGCTCTAAAATTATTTGTTTTTGAAGAATATATATGCAGTTATGATATCTTTGACAGCTTTCTTTATCATTGTTTCTTCTTTGCCTTAACATGTTACTTTGTTTTGCCTAAGGAATGGTTAGAACTACATAATGATTGTGATGCTATTATTGATGGAGCGAATATTGGACTCTACCAACAGAATTTTGCAGATTCTGGATTTAATCTTCCTCAGGTTGTAAAATATATTTTGCTCCTTTGTTTGTTTTAAATTATGCAATCTCTTGAACTTTCCATCATATTTCATGGCTACCGTTTTCCCTAAGAAACATTATTAATTATGCAATTGTGTTCTCCTGATTTCAATAAAGCAGATTGAGGCCGTTGTTAATGAATTATGTAAGATGAGTGGAGGGAAATGGCCATTAATTTTCTGGCACAATAAAAGGACCAGGGCTCTATTGGATAATTCTTCTCAAAGAAGGCTTGTTGAGGAGTGGATAAACAATGATGTTCTTTATACAACGCCTGTTGGTTCAAATGACGATTGGTATGCCCTTGACTAATAATTCGAAATCTCATCCATGATACTTGTTCATTGTTTAAGATGTAAAATTTTGGATTCAACATGTTTTTGTTTACTTAGCCTGGTAAATCACATTTATTTTGATTCATCCAAGCTGTTGCTCATTTTTTTTTTTTTACCATACACAATATAGGTATTGGCTTTATGCTGCTGTGAAATTGAAGTGCTTGCTTGTCACAAATGATGAAATGCGAGATCATATTTTTGAACTTTTGAAAAACGACTTATTTCTCAGGTGGAAGGAGAAACATCAAGTATGTGATATCTAGATAAACCTGGCTCTGCAGATAGTTTAATTACATGTCGAAATTTGTATGTTCTCATACATTGTTGTATCATGTTTTTTTATAGATTCGTTACACGTTTGTTAAAGGTCAACTGAGATTTGAAATGCCACCACTTTACTCTGTTGTAATCCAGGTATCTTCTGTTTCCCCATTTTGTCCCTTTATTATATAATTTGCACATGTTTTTACTCGTTTTGAGCTTTTAATTTTAGCTGAAATTGTTGGAAACAATGAAAAACAGAGTGGGAGTGGCTAGCTGATTGAGAATTTTTTGTTTCTTTGAACAGAAAAGCTATAGAAAATATGTTCGGATTACTACCCAAGAGTTATTTTCCTTCAGTTTTTTTTTTTATCACGAGTAGTTTGTTTTGAACAACTGGATTGGAAGTTCTTCAAAATTATAAGTTTGTGAGCAAATAAGGATTTCCTTATTCATATTAACCTTAAATCTTTAGACTTCCAATCAGAGTTCTAAGACATGGTTCTTGTAATGACTATAATGTTGGGTTTCCTAGGCGCACCCAATCAACTCTAAGAAATACTTATTGTAGAACATATTGTCATCCATCATTAAAACGATTATCAAATGAAGTCTTAATTATCAATGAATCTTTATTTTTCAAATGCGTGTTCTCCAAAACTGGAGACAAAAAATGGCGACTTTATGAAATGACCCCTTAGTTATCTCAAATTTTGTTTCAGGAATCAGAAACTGGATCCTGGCATGTTCCAATCGCAAGCAATGACTCTGAATCAGAACGAACTTGGTTGTGTGTTACCAGGCCGGGTGCTTCTGCAGCTTCCAGTAAACTGGTGAATGTTGACACTTCTGAAAACGTTGAGGCTCGAGGGTCATGTGCACCAATGAGTGTATCCAGTTATAATGATGCAGCCATAGCACGCAAAAGAAAAGAGAGGCCCTCGTAGCTGCATATCATTGCCTGAGAGAGTCTTCAAAAAAATCCTAACTTGCTTGTCTCTGCGTATGACAGCCACCAATGGCAGCCGGGTCCTTTACAGAACAACCAGCAATGGCCTTCTGTAGGTTTTCTGGATTCTGCAGATAGCATGGCTGATGATTCTTTTATCCTCAATTTTTGATCTGCTTTAAATTAGTGTTGGTTTAGCTGACGACGACAATGTTGTAACTTGTCTTGTTGAGTCACTTTCTTTTAATATTATTTTTCAGCGCAGTTTTATCTTTTAGACTGTCTGTCTCGAACTTAAAGTATTGAACAAGAAGAAGAGCAAGCTCTCGTAAACATAAGTTCATAACTCACTCAAGCAAGATAGGATTAAGAAACACATGATCATTCCATTAAATATTAATCTTTTCAATTAATGAATTTATAAAGAAAGATTAAATATTACATGAGTCTTATACAAATTAAACTCATTGAATAGAATGTTGTGATTCATATCTTGATAGGTTAAAAATATTGAATACAATAACATACACCCATATAGCCTCGCACTTCGATTTTTTGCCCTTCTCATAGCTAAGCTAGAGTCCCTAGAATTGACATTAGATACCTCACTCATTGAGCAAATTAAAATCCAACACGTGGTGCAAGAAAAACCTTGAAAGCCCTACTTTGTTGCCTGTTTTCTCCACATCTTTTTCTATCTGTTGTCTATACTCTTTGTAGCTGAACTGCTTGTAAATGCTTGGTTTCATGCAGCTCTCAATCATCACATCTTCCGATGGGCAGTAGAAATATGCAAACGAAAATCTCTCATCTTCTTCAGAAGCAACCACTCTGTGTTTTATGCTCTTGAAAACATCATTGCTCACAACCTGCATCACATTTTCATCATATTTTCACCAATTAAAATCAATGGAGGAAATAAGATTAAGTCAGGGGAAAAAAGTGTGCACCTGAAGTAAGTCACCGATGTTGACAAGCAAATATTGTGGGTTAGGTTTAACAGGAAACCAGGTTCCATCTCTCATGAGCTGCAGACCACTGGTATGAGCTTGATAAAGTATTGTCAGATAATCGCTGTCTGTGTGAGGAATAAGGCCATACACTTTGGAGGCAAATGGACAAGGTGGGTATCTGTTCAGTCTAAGGCTGCTCTTTCCTTTCTCACATCTTTCTTTGAAGTAACTCCATTTTATCCCCAAACTTTGCCCTAAAATCTCTGCTATGCTCTCTGCTATGCTCCCAAATTTCTTCGCAACTGTTTCCATTGTGGATCTGTGCAAAAACAGAAACAGAGATGTATAGCACTGATTTTTTTGGATCATACCCAGGAGAAAAGATTGTTTTTTTCCCTCTTTAAAGCACTTTTGGGGCGTGAATTCAGGCATTTGGCCAATAAATTTGAGAACTTTGGAAGATTTTAAGGATGGTTGAGTGAGTTAGTTCACAGTTTATTAACATGAGATGATCTTGAATTGTTCATGAACAACTTCTGGGTATGATCCAAAATGTGTTCTTTCAAGCTTGGTCTTCATGAACAACTTCTAATAATGAAAGAAGAAGAGTAGTAAGAGCCAAAATGAATGTGTTGCTTAAAAACCCAGCACCAAAAAATGAAGATAAGACCATGGAGGAGGGTGTGTCCCCACGGGGTACTAGAAAACTGGTTCATGTGATGGTCATGTGATGGGGTGGTGTCAAACTAAGGGTATACCCATGGAGCCATGCAGTCTCCATTGACGTGGAAGCACCCCCCCGCAGGTACTTCACATGCCCTTCAGTCCTTGTGGGGTACCCTAAATATATATTAAGAGGTGCAGGGCTCACGGATCTAGCTTGCAATCCTAGAGTTTTTAAACATGTGAGCGAAACCCATGTAGAGGGCTGTATGGAAGTACTTTTTTCTTTTACTTTGGTAATTGTATGAAGTAAATGCAGACACTGAATTCAAAACCAGGGCAGGCAGTGAAAGGGTAAAAAAAAAAACAATAGAAAACTTCCAATCAAAAGACAGAAATCAAAAGCACTCTCCTGCGTTAATATGCTTGACAGTTTGTACATTTTGTTGGTTTTCAAGTGGAAAGCAGCAACATACATCAGTCGTAACTTATTGGGATTGCTCATATGCTTCATTCTTCATACCAATCAAAAGAAAACTTGAAGTTTTAGTGCTCAAATCAATGTTCAAATTGTACAATGACCTTATCAGCTTAGAGTTTCAACCTTTCCTTCTCTATGCCACTTTTATGTATCTGAAAAAAGTGATTACATGAGATCTCACATCCGTTTGAGAGAAGAACGAAGCATTATTTATAAAGGTGTGTAAACCTCTCCCCAACAAACGCGTTTTAAAAATATTGAGGAGAAGTCTGAAAGGAAAAGTTCAAAGAGGACAATATCGGTTTGCGGTGAGCTTGAATTATTACAAATGGTGTTAGAGCTAGACATAGGGCGATGTGCCAGCGACGAGGCTGAGCCCTGAATGCGGGTGAACACGAGGCGGTGTGCCAGCAAGGACGCTGGTCCCAATATGGGGTGGATTGGGTCCCACATCGATTGGAGAAGGGAACGAGTGTCAGCGAGGATGCTGGGCCTCGAATGGGGGTTGATTGAGAAATCCCACATCGGTTGGGGTGGAGAACGAAACATTGTTTATAAGAGTGTAGAAACCTCTCTCTAACAAACTCGAAAGGGAAAACCCAAAAAAGATAATATGTAGTAGCGGTGAGTTAATTTGGCTTTCGATCATACCCTAATCTCACTTGTTTGAGTAGTCGTAGGTATTAAACCTTGTGAGGGTGGGTAGATTGAGGTTGATTGTGTTTTTAGTTGATGATATAAGTAAGAACATTTTTGAAAAGTTAGAACACTCTTCAAGATGAAGATGAGGGAGAGGGCATACCTGAGGGTGACATGCTCCTCCAAGCTTGAAACATCCAAAACACCTATATGAAAAGCTTCAGACCAAGACATTTGAGAAGGAGAAAGGGCGAGAGGGTTACCCCACCGGTAAGTTCCACCCAAATTTAGAAAGTTTCCCAAACTCTTCTGTGCAAAAGGGTGATAGAACACTTTCTTTTGCTCATACAACAACGCCTTCAATGCCCTCTCAGGAACCCCATGATTCATTACTTGAAAGAAACCCCAATTCCGTGCTGCTTCAACTATCTCCTTTTTGCACTTCTCTCTCTCTAAATTCCCCATCTTTAGAAGCCCTAAATCAATCACTGGTAGATCTTCATATGTCTCCTCCACCTCATCATCCACTCTTCCATTTTTACCCTCCACTTCATCTTTCATCAGGGCATTGTAGCAAACTTGTAATGGAGGATCAATGTCCATACTCAATTGTTTTAACTCAGTTTCAGCCTTCAACAGATCTATCACTTCCAACAACATGAAGAAACTCACATGTTATGTTTACATATACATCATGGAAACTCCATATATATATATATATATATATATAGTAATGATGAATCTGTAATTCATACCTTTGGTTGCACCAAAAAAACAAGTGTTGTGTTAACCTCTTCTCAGCTCTCAAATGCAACCACTTGTCTCACTGCTTCTAACCAATGGATGTTAATGGAAAGTCATCAAATTGAGGTCTCCTTATACGTACGAACCCTATTTCAAAAGGACAGAAACTAAGATATGGTTCTGTTAGGCCACGAAGTTTGGAGCCCTTTATGTATGATTTTCTGATTCAAACTTCTATGGCTGAGTGAAGAACACGTTTTTCAGTTTCCTATATAACATTAATGCCAAATAAATATATATATATATATATATATATATATATATATATATATATATATTAATTTTCTTTTTAAATTTTATTTAGTCATTGTCCACATTGTCCACTTCGAAGATAAGCTCTCGTAACTTTATTTTTAAATTCTCTAAGAGATCATGTCTTTTATTTATATATCAATGATCTTCTTTTTAACGGACGTTTTAGATAACTACACATTAAGTCAACGTTCCAAACTCATGCAAAAAGCTTGATTTGAAAAGATAGGGACTCGTTGTTTGCATGAGGTTATGGTATGAATTAATCAGTTTGGTATGTGGAGTCGGCAAGGAATGATAGACATTTAAGTTTGATGTGAAAAGAGGATTTGCATGGGATACATAGGGTGGGGTCAATCAATCAATCCATCCATCCATCCCTAAGAACAAAACAAATTATGATAAGAAGAATGGTGAAAAGGGTATTGATCCATCGTGCGCAGAGAGTTGGGAATCTAAGTGTGAAATGGGGATGTCGGCTTGCATCCACTAAATGAAGAAATCAATACCCAAAAACATATCATTAATTGCTTGTGGAAGCCATATGCATGTGAAGTGGGTACTTTTCTTTCACCAATTTTAATACTTGTGGAGCCTAATTAAACCAACACACATTTCAAACTCCACCCCCTTCCTCAAAACGCCATATAAAATTAGGGTTTTGAATCTCTTCTCTTGTTAAATTAAAAAACGATATGAATTATTATTATTATTATTATTATAAAGTTATTGTTCTTGAATCGGATTCAAACAAATTAAATTGATTTGATTAGTGGATAGGAAGCAATTGTGTTAGAAGGCGGTTGATATTTTGAAAATATATCCCATCTTTAATAAGTGAGCTGTAGATGTTTGTTGTATATAGTAAAGCTCATAACTCTGGTTTGACCCTACACCTTCCAAAAGGAAGTGTGTTTCTGGGTGATTCTAGTAGCTGATTGGGAGCCCACCATAGAGGTCATGTCAGGACAAATCTCCAACTTCGTTGCATTATTTAAACTATGCCCAAACACAAGAATATGAACTAAATCATCTAATGTGTCTGTTTAAATTAACCGAAGATGTTATTCAATGTAAAAAGAAGTGTTTAAAAGCATACCTCATTTCATGGTCTCCACAACACAAACCGTCCTCAACCAGAGATTTATTGTTTTTACTGGAAGAAAATATCAAGGAAACTTAAACCAATATGGGACTCCAACCATCTTACAATGGTGGAACTTAAAGGTCCAATAAAGACAGACATTACGAGCCGAAAGAGCTCAACTAGGCTAATCGATCATATTAAGGTTGAATATAGTCCTTCATTTGAAGAAAAATAATTACGAACAAAATTACAATTTTACCTTAAATTCAAGCTCGACCATCACAATCTTTCTTGGTTAAGGACTTCCATCTCCGAACGTTTCTTCTCTTGAAAAAGATTTGAATACTTAGTTCTCATTTCATCCTCTCGATAACAACTTAATGCAATTGAT